CGTAAACGAAGGTACTTATCTGACAGGTAGAGTCGCGTCCGGCAGTGGCAGAAACGAGAATGTGTTGAGAATAGCTAGAGTGCAAAGATCATTATTGAAAGGACTGAACCAAAGACAGAGGAGTTTTTTTCTGTCATGTAATGAGAAAAGAAACCCTTAAATGTTTGATAACGACGGAGAAAATTGAGGGCAAAAGACCTAGAGGAAGGCAAAGAAGAACATATTTAGAGGCTATTGCCGAGGCGCTGAACACACCAACGTCTTAACCTCTGCGAAGAACAGAAGGAAGTGTAAAGGCATGACCACCAACGTCATTGGATAACGCGACACTAGACTAGACTAGACATACACACGCAGATACACACATACATACATACATATATATATGTATATATAAGTATATATAAGAGAGAGATAGAGAGAAAGAGAGATAGACACACATATGTACACACGTGCATACACACTGACACACACACGCACACACATACACATGCACATACGCACATGCACCCATACGTACATACATAGACACACACACACTCACATATATATTTATATATTCGTAAACTTTTTTTTCTCTCTCTCTTTCTACATATTTTTTTTCAGCCATTCATTCCATTGTAAGACATAGGCCTCTCTCAATTCACTATTGAGAGGTTATATGGCAGTGTCACCTTTGCATGATTGGATGCCCCTCCTAATCAGCCGCGGTTTGGCGTGCTAACACTTGTGCCACGGCGGCGACTTCCCCTACGACCCCTGCGTTTGACTTCTCAAGGCGATATGTCGTCTTCCCGGGCTCGAGGGAGCAGTCAGAGCGCAGGCTCATATATATATATATATATATATATATATATATATATATATATGTGTGTGTGTGTGTGTGTGTGTGTGTGTGTGTGTGTGTGTGTGTGAGTGAGTGAGTGAGTGAGTGAGTGAGTGAGTGAGTGTGTGTGTGTGTGTGTGTGTGTAGGTATATATATATATGCGTGTATATATATATGTATATATATGTATGTGTACATATATATATAAAAAAAGCCATTCAGTCCACTGCAGGACATAGGCCTCTCTCATTCACTAATGAGAGGTTATTTGGCAGTACCACCCTGGCCTGATTGGAAGCCCTTCCTAACCAACCGTGGTTCAAGAGATTTTCCCTACGACATCTGCGTTTGACTTCTCAAGGCGATATGCCATTTTATCATATATATATATATATATATATATATATATATATATATATATATATATATATATATGTGTGTGTGTGTGTGTGTGTGTGTGTGTGTGTGTATTTATCTATAAATGTATTATATATATTTATATCTATGAATACTTATATATAAACACAAATAAAGTAAATAAATAAATAAATATATACAAGTATATATACATGTATATATGTGTGAATATGTGTGTATGAATATATGTGTGTGTGTGTGTGTGTGTGTGTTGCGTGTTTATACATATGCATAGGTATATATATGTATATATATACACAGACATATGTATATGTGTGTGTGTGCATGCGTGTGTGTGTGTCCGTGTGTGTGTGTGTTGTGTGTGTGTGTGTTGCGTGTTTATACATATGCATAGGTATATATATGTATATATATACACAGACATATGTATATGTGTGTGTGTGTGTGTGTTGTGTGTGTGTGTGTTGTGTGTGTGTGTGTTGCGTGTTTATACATATGCATAGGTATATATATGTATATATATACACAGACATATGTATATGTGTGTGTGTGTGTTGCGTGTTTATACATATGCATAGGTATATATATGTATATATATACACAGACATATGTATATGTGTGTGTGTGTGTTGCGTGTTTATACATATGCATAGGTATATATATGTATATATATACACAGACATATGTATATGTGTGTGTGTGTGTTGCGTGTTTATACATATGCATAGGTATATATATGTATATATATACACAGACATATGTATATGTGTGTGTGTGTGTGTGTGTTGTGTGTGTGTGTGTGTGTGTGTGGTGTGTGTGTGTGTGTGTTGCGTGTTTATACATATGCATAGGTATATATATGTATATATATACACAGACATATGTATATGTGTGTGTGTGTGTGTTGTGTGTGTGTGTGTTGTGTGTGTGTGTGTTGTGTGTGTGTGTGTGTGGTGTGTGTGTGTGTGTTGCGTGTTTATACATATGCATAGGTATATATATGTATATATATACACAGACATATGTATATGTGTGTGTGTGTGTGTGTGTGTGTGATTGTGTGTGTGTGTGTGCGTATATGTGCGTGTGTGTGAATATGTGTGTGTGTGCATTTGGGTGTGTGTGCAAGACTATTGTGTCCTTTTGTTAATATTCTTAGACATGAATTCATAGAACATTAATGATACTGCCTGATGTAGATTGCTATCTCTTTATTTCATTCTTGCAACATAATTACATACATATTCATGCCGTATTCATCATCACAGGAAAGCGAAGATATTCGAGGGGGAGAA